TCATCTGAAGGTATCTGGACTCGAACGTGGGCCTGTATTTCAACAATTCAGCGGTGTACCAACTGAGATAGGCCAATTGTTGGTACTTTCAAACCGTCGGATGGTGAGTGAGAAACATGAAAGCCAACGGGAAGTCGTCTGGTGGGAGAAAACAGGCGCCATCTGCAGGTCCCGGGGAGCAGGCTGCGGTCCCAACTGGACCTGGACGAGGAGGTGGAAATGGGGGGAGAGAGGTGACAAGGCGCCTGGACACCCCGAGTATAACCCGCAGCAAGTCATCTCGGTCACAGGCTCCTATAGGCGCTGAGTTAATGAAAGAGGATCAAGAGGAGGGAGAGGCAAAGGGCGCCCCCGCCGTTGTGCAGAGGAAAAACTCCACCCTCCTTCAGCCCTTGACTGCAGGCATCCCCCCTTTCCCAGCTCTTCCTGAGACCCGAGAGGGTACCGATGTCCGCCAACCTCCGAGCACGGAGACGACGGGAGGCGCAGCTGCAATACCTACCTTAGCCACGGAGCCACTGGAGAGGAAGGAGGATGGAAGGTCAGCTATGGAGGAGGCGTATGGTTTTTCACCATTCCTCCTCTCTCCTTCTTCTCCTCCTGCTCCTGCTGGCGACGGTGGCGATCCTGATCTTGGCCTGCAGCTCAGTGCAAGGTCGGGAGACTTTTACGACCCGCCCTACGTCATCCCGTTTCCGAAGCTTCCCGAAGGGGACAGGGATGGCTTCATCTTGTCGCTGTTGGAGCGGGAATTTCCAGAGATATATCCGCCGCGGCCAGCATCCCCTCCTCCTCCTCCCCCTCCGCAATCCGTAGAGACGAAAGAGGAGTCCTTGGAGAACACGGCGATAGTGGAAGACAAGGCTGAGGATCGAGCAGCTGGACGGGCGGCCAAAGGTGGAAAAGGCGGCAAGAGGGACAAAGGGAAGTTGCCTCCTTTGGCTGACACGGGTGCGGCAGCAACTGCATCTGCGGCCGATAAGGGGCGCGAACCCCGTCAGACGGCGACAAGAGGGGCCAAAAGAGCCGGAACGAAGGCAGCACAGCCGGCTGTGGGTGCTGCTGCTGGGGGGGGTGCAAAAAAGCAAAAAGGGCCCTCTTCGACGGACCCCCCGGAGGGTCAAATTGGGGGTAAGGGAGGACCAGAGGCGGCCGCAGCGAGAGCAGCGACATCGAGGGGAAAAGTGGGGGCCAAGCGACCAATGGGAGCAGAACAACAGGGGGAGGTGGTGGGTCAGGCGGGAGAGATAGCTGAGGACTTGACGAGCGAGAAACCACCCCTGACCAAAGAACAAGAGGCGAAGGAGCGACGCGAGAAGGAGAAAGCCGATGTGTTTAATGGCAGAATTGCATCCATTGATCACGGATGTGTTGCTGCCATTGAGCAGAGTCTGGACATGGAGGGGTATTTGGAGCAGATGGTTATTCAAGCGATCGAGGAAGAAGAGAGGATTCTTGCTGAAGCCGACAAAGGTCAGTCCTTTCTCGACTGCAGATGCTTCCAGCAATTCTACCGTCTTCCCCCGATATAGGACACACATATGGGGAAAAAAGAAAAAGAAAAAAAAAAAGAAAAAGAAAAAGAAAAAGAAGAAGAAAAAGAAAAAGAAAAAGATCACATATTATATGGCTGTCAACTTGTCACCTCTTGCCCAAAATATAGCCATAATGTATTAATGTCATTTTAATGACCATGCGTTCTATTCAGGGGAACCGTGAACGTGGTTACCGTAACAATTATTTGACCTCCTACCAACTTGGCGCCCCAAGAGTACCGCATGGTACCGAACTGGGAGCCCTCAAAAGTTTTTTTTTTACCGCATGGTACCGAGCTGGGAAGGATATGGTGCACTGCTGTCTCAGCTCTCCAGTGAAAGCCCGGATGCGTCTGTATTACAATACAAACCATGTATTATTATAGTAGTATAGACTCTAGAGTACTATAGACTAATATAGATTCTATTGAATATAAATATTTTTTCTTCATACTTTTTGAAATTTCCCCCGGGACCCCGCATCCTGACGACCTTGGCCCATCAACCCGTGTCCCGGTCCTCACTGCATCCTGCCAATCTGGTCCAGCTTTTTCCTGTTCGCTAACCCACTGCTCATAGACTCCTACAGCATCGCTTGTCGCTCTGTTTTCCAGCTTTTTCCTGTTCGCTAATGAGTTGAAACCCCCCCTCCCCAGTCCTCTGCCAAGGCTGTTTTGGAGGAGTGGGTTAGCTGGGACTGCTGGGACTGCTTTTTCCTGCATCACCCCTGTTCTTCCTGTTCCGTCACTTCAGCTGGGACCTGCTGGGACCTTTCTGCAGAGGCTGCTGCGTCCCTCCTGTCTGCCCGGGTGAGCTCCCTGAAATGCTCATAGACTCCTACAGCATCGCTTGTCGCTCTGTTTTTTTTTTTTTGTTTGTTTGTTTTTTGTCCTCCCCCCCCCCCCCCTGGTTTGTGTTCTTGATGTCAGTGTTGCTGTTGTTGTTGCTGTTGTCTTTGCTGTTGTCGTTCGTGGTCGTCGTTCGTGGTCGTCGTTCGTGGTCGTCGTTCGTTGTTGTCGTTCGTTGTTGTCGTTCGTTGTTGTCGTTCGTTGTTGTCGTTCGTTGTTGTCGTTCGTTGTTGTCGTTGTTGTTGTTGTTGCTGTCGTTGTTGTTGTTGTTGTTGCCCTTGTCCTTGTTGTTGTCGTTGTCGTCGTCGTCGTCGTTGTTGTTGTTGTTATCGTTGTCGTTGTTGTTGTTATCGTTGTCGTCGTCATCATTGTTGTTGGTGTTGTGTGTTGTTGTTGTGTGTTGTTGTTGTTGTTGTTGTTGTTGTTGTTGTTGTTGTTGTTGTTGTTGTTGTTGTTGTTGTTGTGGTTGTCGTTGTGCCGTTGCCTTTGCCGTTGTTGTCGTTGCCTTTGCCAATGTTGTTGTCATTGCCTTTGCCGTTGTTGTTGTTGTCATTGTTATTGTCGTTGCTGTCGTTGTTGTTGGTCGTGTTATTGTTGTTGTTGTTGTTCTTCTTGCCCTCCTCCAGCAGAAAAGTTCTTGATCTTTGTTGCTGGCCTCTCCCTCAGAGTCTCCTTCCTCACCTTGTGAATGCGACTGTGTGTTTGTTCTGGTGACTTCTCGGCTGTCTCTCGATCGATATGGACGGACCAACAGCATACACTGCGGCCCACAGGAATGTTGGTCTTCCAATAATGCCATCAACCTTAAAGGTTGACGAGTCTTTGTTGGCGGCCAGGCGGCTAGTTAATCCAAAGCTTATGCACATCAGAGATACGATTGCTGACAAGAGGATACCTCGTCCTCGGAGATTCACACACTCCCTGAAGATGGTGGGTTTTCGTTTTTGCAACATCTCTCTCTCTCTCTCTCTCTCTCTCTCTCTCTCTCTCTCTCTCTCTCTCTCTCTCTCTCTCTCTCTCTGT